GCCTGGGGGCCCCTCAGACAGACAGAGACAGGCTGCCCCTCACGGTGCCGGGCTGGGCCTGCCCAGGGTCCCATCCCGTCTCCTGCAGTTTTGTTTCTCGGTTGTTTCGGGAGGCCCTTGTTTAGTAGGAGCCGCTTGATGTAGTGTAGGCCACCTCGTAATCCATCCTTCAGCAACCCAACCAAATAAACTATTAGATCCTTTCCTAACCTCTCGAGCTGGAACACTGAACAAAGAATCTGTCCTTAGTGGGCCCACGTCAATAAACTCAGACTGATCCAACTTTGTGTTCTTTGCACCTTTATCCCACACCCTTAATAGCCATTCCCACACAAATTCCCCAGGTTTCCGTACGTATTAGGAAAGTCAAGCAGTTCTTTTGGAGATAGCATGTCTTCTCTTGAGTCACAACTTGTACTTCACCTTTTGGGGCTCACTAAGACTTAAGTCTAGTTATAGGTGTAGAAGCAAAAATGGGTGGTGGGGTTGGGTCCTGGGAACATTCAGCAATGTTTTTTAAGGCATCTACTCCAGGCAGTGACTCAGATACTGCCCAGGTGATCTCTCAGACAAAGCTGCATTAATCTCATCAGATGGCGATGGAGGGGATAATGGTCTCACTGGGGAGGGTGGCTTCCGGGACAGAGATGGAGTGATCTCTTCAGATGCGAGTAAGAGGCTGGTTCTGTTGGTAGGAGAGATTCGACAGAATTTATGGGCTCAGTGTCCCCAGCGTCCTGATTATCTGCTCATATGTCCCCATCCCAACTTCCAGGATTCTGTGTCTTCCCATCAGTGTCCTTGCTTTACCTTCAGACACCATTCGAGGTTGGGAATTCAGTTGGCATAGTTCAGCCACTCTTACGAAAAGACTGGTTTTTCACAATATCAGCTCTGTTAATATTAAGAAATAAGGCTTTCAGGAAACAAGTGGCAACTCTGAAGTCTTTTATGCAGGACTTGAGCTGTGATTCTGAAGCCCTGAGCTCATCTCTTTCCTTCACCACTTTGTCTAGCGATGGTAGGACATACCGACTAGCTTCTCTATGCTTATGCTGACAAAATTGTAGAAAGGTATCAAGTGTGCGATCACCCAGAGCCTTGATTCTCACCAGTACTTCATCCATTGTTGGTAACATTTTGTATATTAACTTGCCACCTCATGCCATGGATTAGTAGTGCCCACTTTACTACTAGAAGCAGAGTTATTAACATCTTTAACCAGACTTGAGAACCAATTTAGAAAACTTACCCTTACAATTTTGTTTCTCTAGAACCACCCCTGGTACCAAATGTCTTAGGCTGGGTTCTCGAGAGAAGCAAAATCAGTGAAGCATATATATGTGTGTATATGTATATATGTCTTTATCCCAAGGAAAGGGATCACACGGTTGTAGAGGCTGGCAAGTCCCAAGTCTGTGGGTAAGGTGTCAGGCTGGAGGCTTTTCCTGACTCACATAGCTGCAGGGGCTGATGAACCCAAGACTGGCAGTTCAGACGTCAGGCTGCTGGCTCACGGACTGTGGAGGCTGACAAATTCAAGATCAGCAGGTAAGATAGGGTGCTGGCTCACGGACTGTGGAGGCCAAGGAATCCCAGGATTGTCAAGTAAGACGGCAGGGCGCTAGCTCACAGGATGCAGAGGCTGACGAATTCCAAGATCGGCGGGCAATACGGCAGGCCATGGCTCATGTCCTGAGAACTGGAGTTCACGTGAGGATGACCTGGATGCAGGATCCAGAGCAAGAAAGGAGCTTTGCCAGAACGTCCATATACATACTGGATGCGGGCCACACCCCCGAGAGGTAACTCTCCTTATAACTGATTGGCTGATCACATCAGATCACATCATGGAGCATGACTACATCATTACATAACTGCAAAACCACTGAGAATCACGGCCCAGCCAAATTAACATACAGCCTTAACCATCCCAGTCTACCCCTTGTCAACTTGGCACCTGTACACATTTCCTTAAACCATATACAATCTCTAAATACAGTTAACAAGGTCATACTTGGGCCTAAAATGATACAACATACGTAAAACCAAAAATGCAGTAGCCCTGTTTACATCTTATATTTTATAAATAAATATTTGATGCACACATACAAGGAAGAAATACAACAATTACAGTCCTCGTTTCTGCAAGTGGTCATGTGGTTGTAACTAGTACATAGAACTACTTTCCTCCACCACCCATTCTGTATTCCCTTTGCCCTCAGCAAGCACGTCAGCTGGTTGTGGTTCTTTACCTGGTGGGGTGACCCAAACCTTCATTCCTGAAGGGTTTGGGCATTAGTAGGTCAGAAATCGGTTGCTGTAGTTTCCCATTGACTTTAATCACAGGACATGGTAGTACTAAGCAATGCCCTAAGGGATCATCTATATTCTAGACATAATCTTTACCTCCATTATGCAACACCAATTCGATTTCCCCTTGATAGGATCAATCTCACCAGCCAATATGGTAACTCCCTTCTTTGTTGATACAGAGGCATGAGGAACCCAAAGTGGCTGGGTGACCTTCTTTACTTCCAGGTCAATGGAATCTGGGTTGTGTCTCCCAGTGGAAGCATTCCTCTCTTTGGAACTAAGATCTCTAGACCTGAAGAGTATAGGTATAGGCTTGCAGGACAGGTAGCAGAAAATTTGTGAGTGGGTCACTAGGGGTAATAGTGAGCGATGCCACACCCATTTCCACCCCTTAATTCCTGGAACCGTGAATCCTGGCTATGGGAGAAACAACACCATATAGTGGATGCTGGTTTAGAGCATATACAGCCTCCTGGAGAACACTGCCCCAACCCTGTGAACTATTGCCACCTAGCTGGCACTGTAATTGTGTCTTTAGGGGGCCACTCTATGGTTTCAAGCCAGCTGCTTCAGGATGATGGTGAACATGGTAAGACTGGTGAATTCCACGAGCGTGGGCCCATTGCTGCACTTTTCTCTGAAGTGATTCCCTTGATCTGAGGCAATGCTGTGTGAGATACCATTGCAGTGGGTAAGGCAGTCTGTGAGTCCACAGATGGTAGTTTTGGCAGAAGCATTGCGTGCAGGGAAGGCAAGTCTGTATCCAGACTGCCTATCCCATTAAGAGTGAAATGCCCTTTACATGATGGAAGTGGTCCAATGTAAGCAATCTGCTCCCTGGTTGCTGGCTGACTGCCTTGAGGAATGGTGCCATTATCAGGGACTCGGTATTGGTCTCTGCTGCTGGCAGATTGGGCATTCAGCAGTGGCTGTAGCCAAGTCAGACTTGGTGACTGAGTCCATAACTTCCGTGCCCGTCACCACGGCCACTTTGTTCATGAGCCCATTGGATTGGCTGGGGAAAAAGGATGACTGGTTTCCCCAGGACGTGTCATCTTATCTACTTGATAAAATCCTCCTCTGTCGATCTCACTCTTTGGTGGGCCTTCACAATGAGACAAATATCTTCACTTTTTTGGACCATTCCCAGTGATCTACCAACATATCTTCTCAATGTCTTCCTGTCTCCAGTTTTCCAGTCACGTTCCTTTGAAGTCCCTGATCAGCTAAACCATTGCCCACAGCCCATGAATCAGTATACAATTGCACATCTGGCCATTTCTCCTTCCAAGCAAAGTGAACAACTAGGTGCACTGCTCGATGTTCCGCCCAGTGGGAGGATTTCCTTTCATCACTGTCCTTAAGGAAGGTCCCAGAAAGAGGCTGCAGTGCTGCCAGTGTCCAGTTTTGAGTGGTGCCTGCATATCATGCAGCGCCATCTGGAAACCAGGAATGAGTTTTCTCTTCCCCAGTCAACTGATCATAAAGAACTCCCCATGAGGCCATAGGTGCAGAGTGGGAGACGGAAGGTCACGTGACAGGAGTGGAGACCATGGGCATCTGGGCCACTTCCTCATGCAGCTTGTGGCTTCAGGTCCTGCTCGGGTGTGAGAAACCACTTCCATTTAATGATGAATACTGCTGTGCATGTCCAACTTTATGGCTCACCTTGGATCACATCATGGAGGTGATCACATCACAAAATGGATAACTGCATCATTATGGAACTGCCAAACCACTGAGAATCATGGCCCAGCCAAGGCGACACACAGTCTTAATCATCATAGCATTAGTGATTGGTGCATAAATTTGAACAATAGTCGTATTAACTGGTCTTTCTTTTAGGCGACTGCATATTATCCTGTCAGTGACACCTTTGTAATTCATGATCTTGAAATTTTCTTTTTGATGATGAATGTGATGCAGTTCCTCTTCAATTTGTCGTTCCCAGCATAGTAGACCATATGTTTGTCCAATTCAGAATGGCCAATACTAGCCCATTTCAGCTCACTA